AAACCATCTAAGGCGACTTTCTCTAATTTTGTCTGTCACAGGAGCTACACCAACCCTATCACTGATATATTCATTTCGCATTTTGTCTCTAAGTGTAAAGCCACTAATCCACCTAATCATTCTCATCTCGGCAACACTTAACTTATTATTATGCTTCTCTTTTAAAGGCCAACATTCAGCGCCATATAGCATTGCAGGTTTCACCACCGTCTTATAAAATTTTCCTTTCAGTCTAAGTGGTACTTTTCTATCACACAAAAGGCCCGAAGCATTCCTCCACTTCAACTAACCAACTTGAATTCTACTATTAACATCCCCATCTATATCACCAAGAGAAAAAATAATAATTATTATTCATTAAGCATAAAACTTGGGAATGCTAGAGCTACAACAAAGATGCGAGGGATTGATAGAAGAGAGGATGAGCATGAGATAATCTCTATAATTAAATTAATTTGTGGATGTTGTTTTTTTGGCTGGAGGAGCGCAAGTGTCCAAATATTATTTAATCATATTAATGCCATCTTTGTGGGTTGTCTAGGATATATTAGTAATTCTTTTAAAATTTGTAAGTCAGGTCATGCCAATTGAAATCTTCAACACTTATTTTATAATGATTGGCTACCAAGGTTTTTAACATGGTGCAAGATGGACAAAGAGGTGTGGGATGCCATAATTTATGTGAACTCTATGTACGTATTGCTTTGTGTTAAAATCTTAAGTTACCCATGCACAAAATATTGGAAGGCTTTTAACTATCTTCTATGTTGTTTATTTTAAATTTAGTACGTCTTATCGGCTCGATACTTTCTACTTTAGCAAATTGTGTTGTGGACCTTGCAAAGGAAGGTTTAGAAAACTTGCACGGATTTAACATTTTTTTATTAGGTTTAAGCAAAAACATATATTTTAAAAATTTCTTGACTTTTTGGTAAGATACATGTTTATTGATGAATTTGATACTTTGTTATGACAAATTTTGGTCATATTAGAACATGACATCATCCATGCCAATTATAATGAATACATAAAGGCACAAGAAGTAAAAAATAATGAAGGGATAGTTACGACTGCCTGCGCAACATCTTGACAGTTGAAATAAAATTAGCGGCTTCCGTCAGAAATAACATCGAAATTATCTTATGAGCCGGGCTACTATCTATTGGCTATTTTCCAATAGTGAAAATGAGATCATTTTTATTATCCAAGATAATTTTGTAGTTTTTTGAAATTTATGATGAACATGGTTATTTTGGATTCTTAATTGGACGCATTTCAACAAATTAAGCCGTCAATTTTCGAAGCAATTTACTCAAGATATCATTCACTTAGACGGTGGGTTTAATTATTGGAAAACATGATTAGTATTGATCACGGAAAAAAAGTTTTAATCATCACTTTAGATCGTTTAATTCCTTCTTTACCCTAATAATGTGTTATGTTTAGCATATTATAATTGAAACAATATACTTATGTTATCTAGCTTTGCTGACCTCAGTTTTGTGAGGACTCATCTCAACTACATGTACAAGCTCAAGTCCCAGACCGATTGGCTGAGTGGGTTTAGGGTTTAGTATCTGAATTGACTACCAGGGGTAAGACATACCCTACGCCGCTCAGATCAACTTGGAAACCCTAAGGCCACAATGACCATCAATTTCATCTTAGGAGGTGGACATTCCCAAATTGAATCCTGGTTTCACCGATAGTCTCCCTAACCCAACCAAACCCTAAAATTCAGATCAAAACCCTAGTTTGTCCTTTTGAACTTCAAAAGAGTTGAAATCCTAGCATGGTCAGTGCGAATCAAACTTAACCTTATTTTGACCTTGATGGGACTAAATAGCCCATATGGTCAACCTGATTACCCTTGTCAACCCTTGGTCAACATGGTCAACACTAGACCATATGACTAGCCCATTACCAGTCGCTTTATGGTCAACAAATAGCCCATATGGTTAACCTGACCACCCTGGTCAACCCTTGGTCAACATGGTCAACACCGGACCATATGACCAACCCATTGACTCTATGGTCAACCCAACCAACCATATGGTCAACAAATAGCTCATATGGTCAACCTGACCACCCTTGTCAACCCTTGGTCAACATGGTCAACACTGGACTATATGACCAACTTATTGACCCTATGGTCAACCCAACCTTCACACGGTGAAATTGACTATTTTTGTCCAATTGGTCAACCAATAGTCCAATTGGTGAACATTGGTCCAATAATCAACCTAGGGTCAAACGGTCAACCCTAAGCCACCATGGTCAACTCATAGTCTTATGGTCAACTTTTCATTCTCATAATTAATCAAGTCATTAATTAATTAAAAGAATGAATTTAAGATCCATTGTGCCTAGGTTTAACACTAAAACCCTAATTTAAAACTTAAAGCCCAAGACTTTAACACATGGCTCAAGCCCATGGATTAGGCTCGCGGTCCATGCCCATGATCTAATAGGTCACCCATGACCTACACCAACCCATCAAGCCATTAAAGAACCTATATTCACATGAAACAAAAAAGTAAAATAAAATAAAATATGGTAGAGGAGACAAAAGAAGTTATGCTTACCTACTCTCCCTCATACTTGACACCCTACTCCAAATAACCCAAGTCTCTTCAAGCTTGGGTGAAGGAGAGAACATTTGGCAAGTCCAACCACTACACCTCCAACCTTCCCCAATGCATCTATGCCATGGAATTCTCTCTCTTACTCCATTGGAGCCAACTTGGACAAAGTCTCCAAGGAGAAGAATTACCTCCATAACTCCTCTCATTGATCTCTGAAAACACTTCAGAGGAGCTAGAGGAATCACCTCAGGCTAATTTTTTCCCTTCCAAGCCTCCCATGGCCATAAAAGACCAAACCTGAGAGCTTCAAGAAGGCATGATGCTCTCCAATTACACCTCCAAACCTTTGCGCTTAAAGAGAGAAAATCTTCTCCAAGCTATAGGCAGTAGATTCCTTATC